TTTTGGTAGTACCAGACACGCCACCCTCGCTCATAGCCCAGAAAACGCGAAACGACTTCGAGAACGTGAAAACCCAGCCAAAACTATTGTTGCGTAGGTTTTTGGTGCCTATAGTAACATACATAGGCACGACAGACATATTTCAACTCTCTCTCAAATTGACCAAAACACTTTTAGCAACTTTTCGTTTATTGTTTTTTACTTTTATTTTTTCCTCTTCAGTTAAATTATACGAGCTCCTTCCCACTTCAGTTAGCCCAACTATTGAAATCTTAGTTTTTTCTAATCAAACACAAATAATAAAAATGTAGCAGGGTGTTATAGGTTTAAAATATTAACAATGAATATTTTGATAATATATAGTAGAAAACACCAACTTTATCACTCCCTAATCAAATTTGCAGCGTTTTCATTTCAATGCAAAATAAGTCTATAACGCATAGGTGGCTGTGAAAAATAAAAACCATGACAATTGTTTTTATTAGTCACAGCTGTCAGAATACGTTTAAAATAGTTTTGGGTAGTTAAGGTTTTTAAAATAATCATAAGCTCTACGTCCAATTGCAGTAGGTACACCCCGATGACAATTTGTGATTTCCATCCCCAGAGGTAATTTCCGATCGACATTAGCGACGCGATCAACAGCGGTAGCAGCATCAGCATCCGTAACGCTAATCGCTTCTTTTAAATTATCATCGTTATTTCATCGCGCCACCAAATTAACTCACATTAAATATGCAAAGATTTTTTAATTGCTACGGTAGCGACGTAGCCGTTCCCTGTCAATCAGCGCAAATTGCTTCGGTATTTAGATTTATCGATGTATACATCTAGAACCGATGCAAAGTATATGTACATAGTCATGCCATAAGTTCTGTCCCTCGTTTTCAAACAAGTGTAGACCTGTTAATACTTGTCCGATTGTTTACATTGTGGTGTCAGTTGATTAAGCGCTTTTCGGGTAATTACATATACCTCAGTTTGTATTGATCTCTCGAAGCATAACGATGGAGTGGGGCAAGGCAGAGAACCGTATTGCAGTGATAGCTTTACATAAGTGTAATCACAGTGCTAGTCAGATTTTTGAACTCTTACGCGGCCTTCAAATATCGCGTAAATTTGTGTCTAGGACCATTCAGCGGTACAATGAGACGTCCTCTGTTGATGACAGGCCAAGAAGCGGAAGACCTCGTCAAGTAAGGACTCCAGCAGCCATCAAAGCCGTAAAAGCCAGGATTCAAAGGAATCCACTCCGGAAGCAGAAGATCCTATCCAGGGAAATGAAGATTCCTGTCCGGACGATGTCGCGCATCATTAAACAAGACCTAGGGCTAGGGGCTTACCGGAGACGTACGGGCCAGCGACTTACGGCCACCTTGCGACACATCAGGGCGACAAGATCCAAGAAGCTCTTGGAGAGGTACGCAGCTGGGGGATTCCGAAAGATTTTGTTCACGGATGAGAAAATCTTCACCATAGAAGAAAAATTCAACCGACAAAATGACAAAGTGTATGCAAGGAGTTCACAGGAAGCTTCGGAGATCATTCCGAGAGTTGAGAGAGGCCACCACCCTGCGTCAGTCATGGTTTGGTGGGGGGTGTCCTACGAAGGGGTCACTCAGCTCCATTTCTGTAAACAGGGCGTGAAAACAAAAGCGGCAAACTATCAGAGCGACATACTGGATCCTATCGTCAAGCCTTTAAGTGGTACATTGTTTGCCAACCAACACTGGGTCTACCAGCAGGATTCCGCCCCCGCTCACAAGGCTAAGAGTACGCAGCGCTGGCTGGAAAGCAATGTGCCAGAGTTCATTGCTGCGGAAGATTGGCCCTCAGGGAGTCCGGACCTCAATCCTTTAGACTACAAGTTGTGGGACCTGCTAGAGCAGTTGGCCTGCTCCAAAGCCCACCGTAATATCGAGTCCCTGAAAGCGGATTTGATCCGATCAGCGGCAGCTATTCCTTTGGAAGCTGTGCGTGCAGTGATAGATGAGTGGCCCGCGAGATTGAAGCAGTGTGTGAAGGCCAAGGGGGGACATTTTGAATAAAACTGTTTGATTATGAATTCTAAAAATGTTGTCGAATAAATAATATCTTTCATATAAATATATCTTATCTTGTTTCATTTTTATCATGAGATTATCATGGGACAGAACTTATGGCACGACTATGTAGTAATAATAGTACAGGGTGCGGGATCGTAACTTCCTTTTTTCAAGACACATTGTATGTATAAAGTCAAGGTACAGTAGTGTGTTTTAGCAGCATCAACCTGTACCAGACTGTTGCATCCCCAAACAGTGATATCCTCCAAATATCTCCTAAGAGAGGAAGTCGCTGCTACTCGTCTTTTCTCCAGCTCACATTTTGAGAGTTTACTTCTGGTTGGCTCTAAAATCACAGTTAACCTGCAATTGAGAAACCGGGCCTGCATCTCCAGTCTCCGGTAGATATAAATGTCCTGATTAGGATACTCGCGTATGCGGACTCCAATTTTCGAATAATTCCGCATTGTTTGAACACGAGAGTGATGTGTTATTTCTTCATTTCCGTACACCATAAATACACGCAGTTACACTTGTCTCGCTTGTCATTATATGAAAAACAAGCATATTTAACAGATATTTTGCAAACGACCATTCCTGTTATTAATCATGCTCTTTGTTTTTTGCACGAAGCCACGTTCGAAGTGATATATGCGTGTTAATGATGGCGGTTGTCTAAACATAACTGGTTCTCTTTTTGGAGACACGTTGACAGATGCGCACAGCTGAGACAGAAACGCTCGCGAGTCGCGACTTTATTTCAGTAGGTTATGAATGAAAAAAAGTACGTGAGGAACGTCTAGACCTAGACAGTCAATGGCTATTATGAATTCAGAACTATATGCTTATATTTGAGGTGATACAGGGACGCTAGAAAATAAGTGTACCAAGTCTTGAAAAAAAAACGCAAGCATAATATGTTAAATAGCGGCATATGTACTAGCCTTATTTGCAAAATTTAAGTTAATTTTTATAATTAGTTTCTAATTCTATATGTTGTCTGAGATATACAGGGTGTTTCACAACTTATCCGACAAATCTTAACCACATATACACTGTTACGAAAGAAGTTGATTTCTCAAAAAAAATGTAATAAAAGTCCTACAAAAATTAAGTTATAAACCTGAGTTTCAATAATAAATTGAAAAATAAATGTCTGTATTTTTTGTTCATCGTCGTGATATTAAAACACGCATTAATAATTTATTGTAGCAAATGTATCAAACAACTGACGAACACAAAATACCAGAAACTTGTTGGTTTTTTCATACTGATAAGAACGTGTAAATAAGGTTTAGTCTGTATCGTGGGTGATCTGAATAAAGAACTGTCAATTTTTGCGAAGTTAATTAAAGTATTTTGCGTGTTTATGTTTTTAGTTATTTATTAATAAAAATGGCCCATCTGTACAGTAATGAGGACTTGGACATTGTTTTAACGTACGGAGAAGCAGGGTAAAATTCGCGAGAGGCTTCTCGTTGTAGAATTGCGTGACCGAATCAAAGTGACTGCCGATAATTTGAGCCTTCAGGCTCAGCACTAATTTGACAGTATTTGAATTAGTGCGCCAAAATTGGATTAGACGCATCCAAGCTTGCATTGCAGTCAATGGAAACAATTTTGAACAGCTTTTATAAGTAAGTGAACTGTTAAACTGTATTGTTTGATTATCTCGATTTTTGTAGGACGACTTTTATTAAATTTTTTTTAAATCAACTTCTTTCGTAACAGTGCATATGTGGTTAAAATTTGTCGGATAAGTTGTGAAACACCCTGTATACACACTGAAGTGACTGAATATTCAGGACTGGAAAGCTGTCAAGATTGAGTGTTCTTGGCCTGCACTCGTTGTACATGGTAGGGATAAAGCAAATTTTTCCGTAGGATTCTATGGACTATGGTATGCTATAGTCCTACGCGGCGGCCTAATTCCCGAGTGCTGATATCTGCATTGATTTCCACGATATTTAAAATTTGTTCCTCCTGATCTACAGTAACCTGTCTTTCACGAGTGCAAATATTAGTGGGCTGAACACTTCCTGTATCTTGAAGTCTTTGGTACACTTGCACAAATGTCCTTCTGTCTGGGTGCGCGCGTTGGCGAAATCCGTCGCGATAAATTTGAGCTGCAAGATTTGAATCCTGACGAGCTTCATCGTAAACTAACATGTCGGCGAACTCTTGATTCGAGAACATTGTAAATCAAAACGACGACGTGCGTGAATAAAAACAAAACAACATACTAACCACTGTTACCGTTTGCGATCGATTGCCGGTTCGATAAGAGTGATGATGCCCGACGCGCTGTTGTTATGTGTGGTTTAAATATTCAATTTAATGAAACTTACTTACTGACTACAAATTTTGGGTTAACTTAGAAAAACTTGATGCCATTTATTTGTTAATTACCCAATTTAAAAACGTTTTAGATTAGATTATAAAAATTAGTAAGATTGTGGTGTTTGTGGTCGATATAAAGCGCTTAAAGTTGTAAACTATAAAGCCATTTAGACAAAAATCTATTGACTCTGGGACCATGGGTCTAGGAACTTTTTGACTTGTTTTGACCCCCCGTGTTACCCATTTCAATAATGACTACCATAACGTTTGCACCCTGTATAGAATTAATGTGTAAATTTCATTACCGGCTTGCTAACTTTACCTGTACGAAAAATGAGTAAAGGGGACTTTTTTAAGAAGCTCTGTATCTCTTATGATGTTTTAAAAAGTGTTATTCATTCCTCAGTCATCAAACTGACAGCACCGCTCAATCGCAATACATAATTAATACAGAACGCCCATCAGACAGCCCATGCAGATGAAGATCCATCTGGACCACGATCATGACAAAGCAAAAACAACATTTTCAGTATCTTCTCTATATTTATTCAACTAATAGAAACACTAATCCTAACCGCAAGGTGGCTAATTTGAATTTCTAATGACTTGTTACAGATTACCAAGCTGAAGATCGACAGCAACCCATTTGCGAAGGGATTCAGGGATTCGTCGAGGCTAACCGAGTTTGAAAGGTATGCATCTGGTATGCAAGGAATTTTGTTTCAGATTGTTGCGCAAGATACATATTAACTTGAATGTCTATAATTGAGTCGATATATCCTAGGCACAGCACACTAACTATAGGATTGCCCAGTATTTCGATTGATAATGAATTTTCAATTGTCATTAAATGGGTTCATTCAAGTGTAAAAACTCTAGCTATAACTTGGATGTTTCTTTAAATCAATATACAAAACAACCAAGACTGCTCACGTCTGGCTCTCTACAGGGTGGTAATAAAGTATGTAGACAAACTTCAGGATTTGATTTTTTGCGTAATTTTGAGATGAAAGAGGTGAAAAGTTCGTATAAACATAGGTCCAGAAATTTTTCGCCAAACTTTTTTTAAAAATCGGTGTTTCCCTAAATATCTTAATAAACTTTGGGTCTATTTTGTTTAAATTCTGCAGTAGTATTAAGGGCAGTAAGGGGCTAATTTAGCTCCTATTAGATTGAAATCATGAAATCCATTGGCGTTCTGGAAAAACCCTAACCAACATCTTTGACAAAAAATTTGTGCGCCAATGACTTTTTCCAATTTTTCTGTTTTTCTCCAAATTAGCAGTTAAAAATACAACTTTTTTATGTCCTCAGTTTCTTTCATATCTCGCTCCGTTTGCATGTTTTTGATAATTAAGTTACTCGAATGTCGTCTTTTGAATTTTTTTGCTCAGATTATACCTGCTTTCGATAAAACAAATAAGCAGAAAATATTTACATAACGTTATTTATGGTTGCAATGATCGGCCCGGCCTATGATATACACTGTAAAAACATCGAGAGAATCCAACGTCGTTTTGTGAAATACTTATGGTTTAAAGATGATAGAGCGTACCCTGAAAGGGGTATACGCAATGACATTCTCTTAAGTAGATATAATTTACATAATTTAGTCAAACGTATGAATCTGTTAGCTGCTAAATTTTTATGCAATTTGTTGAATGGAACAAATGATTGCCCTTTTCTTCTAGACAGGATCTCTCTACGCGTTCCCGATTTGCGTATTCGTCATGGTGGTAACAACTCATTTTATTTACCTGTTCCGCGGACAAATTTATTGTTATTTTCGCCTCTTTATGTTATGTGTAATGTCTGTGACAGTGTAAGTGAACTTGATATCTTTAGTTCCACCAAAATCGATCTCAAGAGGTGTTTTTTAACAATTGGATAATTTATATTTATGTCTTTTTTATCATGTACTGTTTAGAGTTTTGTTTTTGTATCAGTTTTTGTTTTTTCCCTGCCTGATAATTGGATCACTCTGTTCAGGCAGTGTATGGATTATTATAAATAAATAAATAAATAAATAAATAATTAAGTTACACAAAAGTCGTCTTTTGAATTTTTTTGCTCAGATTAGACCTGCTTTCCAGTGACGTTGCACAGTCACTCAGGAGACAAAAAAGTTATATTTTTAGCTCCTTCGAAAAAAATTGAGAAATTGGAAAATGTCAGTTGCGCCCAATTTTTTTGTCAAAGATATTGGTTAGAGTAACTCTTAAAAACACTTCAAATAATATAAATAATAAGCACCGCTTTAAGTAAGTTATGTCAAAGACAGATTTGTTTGAGTAGTTTTTCCTTTCATGGCGCTCTTATTTTTATTACTTTTAAAATATAGCTTTTATAAATTATTACGTTATGCGATTATTATATGTTATTTTGTTTTATCGAAATTAGTTTAAATATGTGCGAAAAAACTCAAGAGATGACTTTCGTGTAATGTTAGTTTGGTGGTTTCAATGTTTTATCATGTTATTGTCCCAGGGACATGCAATAAAGGACTTTTTATTTTTTATCTCGCAAACGAAGCGAGATAAAAAAAATTGACAGATAAAAAGTTGTATTTTTAGCTTAGCTTAATTCAAAAAAAAAATATAAAAATTAAAAAAAGTGGCGCACAATTTTTTTGTCTAAGATATTGGTTATGGTGTTTTTCGGGACTCCACTGCACTTGATAATTTCAAATTAAATGGGGATAAATTCGTCCCTTACTGCCCTTAATACCACTGCTAAATTTGAACAAAATCGACAGTTTATCAATCTACTTAGGAAAAACCGATTTTTTTTTTAAGTCTGCCACCCTGTATCTTGAAAATGAAGCATTTCTGGACCTATGCTTATATAAACTTTGCATCTTAAAATTACTCAAAGAATCATCTCCTTGAGTTTGTCTACGTACTTAAATAACACCCTGTACAAAGAGTTTCAAATTACCGAAGCAACACAAACTTCTTCAAGCACAACTCACAACTAAGAAGAACTGAATTAGTATGTTGCTGAAATTGTATGAAATTGGCGGATTCACGGATTCTGTGTGTGGATGATGGGATGGTATTTTCAACACTGAGGCTACATTGTTCTACTACATCTAAAGTTGGCAATTTCATATATTTTCAGCAACACACTAATGTTGTTTTGAATACTCTTGTTTGCTGCTTGCTACCTTTAAGTTCCAAAACTGCTTTTCCCTGCTTCTTAGAACGATTAAAAAATTGGAAGGCGTAAAAATATAATTTGATTTTATTAAACATTGATTTTTGCAGAAATATTGAGTATGCCAACAAATTCTTGTCGAATCTAAAACATGAGAAACAGAGACATATCTTAATAATTTTTCACTGTTTTCTATAAAATATTTCCGTCACACAGTGGGACCAAATACCAGAAAACTTGCCCAAAATCTCTGATGTGCTCAAGTGGTGAACACTCACCTCTTAGGTTTTCTCCATATAAGTATTTATTGCTTGTATTGATTATGCAGTTTTCTCGGTCATTTTCAATTTTGTAAGCTATTTCTTGCAATAAACATTTAAGAAAAAGAAATTCTTCCTATATGGAGTATGCATATATGTACATGTATACAAATATTTTTCACGCATAATTCCATATCGGATGATGATCCAGATAACTGTAATTCGCCAGAAAAAGAATTCCTTTAAGTAACTACGTCTATCTATCAATAATAAGCATTCAATATTTTATAGAAAAAAGTCTAATTGTAGGACACCCTGTAGAAAATATCTGAGAAGATGAATCCTGTCTTTGCTTGCCTAGATATTTAAATTAATGAGGATTCTTCTAAATCCCGGTTAGAGGGATTTGGAAAAGCATGAAATATATATTCTATAACGGATTGTGAAAAGTGTTTATAGAGGACAAAGACAATTATCAATAGTACTTATATTTCAGATGTATATTTTCATATATACATGCGCAACCAGTAAAATGTAATGAAGCTTTTAAGTTCTTCATGTTTTCACATTCATTAAATTGCAACGTGGCAATCAAATTGAAAATATTCAAATTACCCTTTCTGCTCATCTTAGAAATAGCTATATACACTACGAGTCTGCGAAAATATTTGTTTCTAGTTTCTTCATGAATTAAAAAGGAGTTGGCATAGGAAACGTGCTAGGATAAATATGTTTCGTTACTCCAGGATTTCATATTGTGGTCGTACAGAAATTAAATTAAAATAAGAAATAAGATAAAAACCGCTGAAAATTTCATTTTTTATCCGATACCGGAATGGTCTGCTAACCTCATTTAAGTGTGTCTATGTTGGATCTTTTTTGAATTTCTTTAAATATTTCATTTTATTATTAAATGAGCATTGATTTGGAATTAGAGACTGTACACAACCACTGACTCACAGATATTAAAACAGGCCACTTTCTTCTCAGTAATGGAGGCTCGATTTCATAAAGTACATATTACAAAGAACGCAGAACTCTGATCACGGAACTCGGAGCGCCTGACCGCCTTCTGTCTGCACGGGCTATACGTATTAATTTAGTTTCAGACTCGCTGTACTAGCCTCCTAGATCCAGTGATGTGAACTAAGGGCCGCATCGTCAGTCGTTCCGACAATTGTAGAATGCCTTTATGGCCTACTTGATTTTCAGTTTTTCCCGTCCTTCAGAAGGGCGCTTTATTTTGAGGTTATGTTACAAATATCTATTGACATCAAATTGCTCATGCTTTTGATTTTTATCATCTGTTTTATCAGCTTGAAATTTCCTACAATTCAAACAGAAAACATTACTAGGACAGCGCTGACGCTGACACGGAACGTAATAATCTAGGAATACCCCAGCCTTTCTGAAGGAGACATAAGGCTATGAAAATCAAGGACGCCATAAAGGCGTCTAGGAACGACTGACGATGCGGCTCTAAGTGATTAAATTCACGATTACCTCATATATCTTGCAGTATCTGTTTTCTAGAGGTCGTACAACTGAAAGCAAACGATATAGGCAAAAATTAAATGCAGTTTTTGATACTGCATAATATCAATAATAATGGATATGAATCAATTGTCTGCTAAAAATGTTTGTTTTTTGGGGTTTGGCTAAGCATTCCGGCCTTTGGTCCCACTGTGCATCGCCTAGAAAACATATAAAAGCTCTCAAATTCGAAATGGTCAAGTACCCCTACGGGAAGAGTAGAACAGCACATTGTATGCGACCGGTAATGCGAGCAATGATCCGCAAGCACAAGCACACAAGACACGCGCCGCATTAACAGCTGCGTACAATATGTGATGCTATTCTCTTCAATTCTGGCACTTGACTAAAATAAAGCCCTTTATTTCTGCCCTAAACAAACATATCTAACCATTCCCAGTTTCTACGATTACAGGGAGACGATGGAATCGATGCTGGCCGAGCAGCACCACTACTTCCGGTCCCCTTTGCGGCCGTTCGCCGAACTAGACCCGCACAACAACAACCTGACGCCTGAGGAACGTGCCATCTTAGCAGCAAGATCGCAGCTGTTCCTCAGGGCAGCTGCAGCAGCGGCGACTGGACCGTACGCGCCGCTGATGGGAGGTAAGCATGAGAGGATAAGCTCACTCTGCGATCGAATATCGTATGCCGTTGCGCGTGACGTCACTCGGTGACAACTGTTCCGCTTGACGGTAGAAAATGCATTGTATCAGCGGTTTTTTTCAATATTTTGATATAACAGCTCATGGAATTCACCGAAGTACGAGAATATTATCATAAATACAGAGTGTCCTCAAAGTTAGGACCTTCCTGTACACACACAATAAAACAGTGATCTCGGTTCAAGAACAACTATCTTCAATTGAGGACCGTTAATTCGGTATGTTGCTAAGACATATGTATATCTTTGAATTAAGGTCAATTTCTCAATTGTCAGAGCTACGTTTCATCAGAACAATGAAATTACCTCATTTGAAGTATCTGCGATCATCATTTCATAGAAACTCATGCTCTTGAATCAGTAACACTCTTTTTTGTGTGCAGTGCGCACAGACAAAAACCGAAATTCACATTCACGTTTCTGGAGCAATAACGTAGTTGCCTATTTGACATTAACATCTCCAAGATTCTAGTCATACTCCGCGAGTGTACTCAGGACGTCGCCATCGTCCTCGATGTTTTTTCCATCAGACCTGCATATGTTTGTATATATCATGCAATAGCCATTTGGTTGAATACAGTTGAAGACCTCAAATCGTGCAAATTTATGAGGAGGTAAGCAAACTCATATTTTTGAATTGAACAGCGACAACTTCAAGTAATGTTTACTTGAAATTCCTTACTAAATGAATATTGATTATTTTTCTTCAATTCCTTTTTTACGTTTTCGGCATTGTTTTGCCGCAAATTTTGGTATTGCTTACTTAGTTGACTCTGAAAGGGAAAGTCCCATTTTTCAGGATACCCCTGTACATAAAAAAAGAAACTTGGATTTTCTAGTTTTGATCAATATTGTATTATGCCGAAAACCGGCCTTTTGGACCCTTCTCATTACTTTTGTTCTGTATGAAATCGAGAAAGCCACCTCATACATTATGTCGTCTTGTATTTATATCACACAGTTGCATACTCTCCGGTAAAGAATCACGCTCATTATATCTAACATCTTTTATTTTTTCCAGTCTACGGCGCCTCAGGCTCCCATCCAGCAGCTCCCACTTTACCACCCGCCGCCCTCTGGAATCAATGGGCGTGTCTCGGTCCGTCAATCCTCGCCGCCCAGCATCAGCACCAACTGGCTGCAGCTGCGGCCGCTTCCGGTAGCCAACTCGCTGCTCCATTGGCCCGACCGCTCGCCACGCATCGGTATTCACCTTATGCCCCGCCCACCACACAACGCTCGTCCCCTGATACAAGCCTGAGGGAGGATGAGTCGCCAGGGAGTCCCGTCTAGTACCGCCTCTAGTCGGCGGAGCTTCATGTAATATAATGAAAGGAAGTGGGATTCTTTTCACGCTCCGCCCATTACGCAACGCTTTTCCCCTGATACAAATTCGAGGGAAGATGAGTTACCAGGGAGTCCGCTCTAGTGGGCGGAGCAACCTGTAATACAGTGAAACACAATGTGTGATTCACCAGTGTGTAAGGCTCCTTCCCTGATAGAAACTTAAGGGAGAATGAGTCACCTGGGTGTCCGGTCTAGCACCCCCTTTACCAGGCAGAGTTTTGTATAGCCGCGCCCACTACGCAATGCTCTTCCCTCATACAAGCTTGAAGGAGGAGTCACCTGGCAGTGGTATCTAGGAGATGTGGCACCGCGTTTAGTAGGCGGAGTTTGGTGTAGTGTAGTGGAATGGGGTGTGATTACAGTATTTTAGAATGATGGGGTTCTAGTATCTGAAGTGTAAAAATATATTGGGCGTAAAAGAAAATATGCTGCGATCTTTCAGAACTTTTACAGGTGAACATACCTCATTGAGTGTATCTCCATTTTTACTTTGATGGGTGGTATACATTTTTAAGTGTTTGAGTACAATCATGCCGAAGAACGTTCAGTTGAAGAACATCGATGTAAAAACAAATATGTGTTCGTGCTCTGAGATTCTTTGCTGCATTTTCTTGCATTCGAAGTTTGTTTTGGCAATTTCCACTTATAACTCGTACACTTTAGTAAAATAGCAGAAAAAATCCTACCAATAAGTAGAGGATGTGACACTGATTTACTTGGTATCATGTGTCTCTAAACTTTGCAATATGAGATACGTTCAATTTCACTAAGTGATCAACTGCTATTTGTTGTCGGGTTCGGCATGTTCCAGTGAGATATCTTCGGCCGAACTTTTCTGAATCTAGAATAATGTGTTTTTCACACAAACTAAACTTTAATAACAAAAGCCTATACACACGTTAAGGTTATGTTCCACCATTCTGAAACTGTGATATGTACAGCGAAACATCTGAAAAATGTTATCGTTTGTCGCAGCAGAAAGATTTTCCTCAGCTGGTGTAATTTTTTAATAAACATGCTGTTTATCAGCATAATGTACATCCGCAAGAAAATTTGTATAGGTTTTTATTCAATGAGTAATGGAAATGAGATTAGTACATTGAATTACATATTCTATTTGTCCAACTTGGTATTATCTAAAACAAAACTCTCGACTCATTCTTTGGCAAACGTATGCCATCTTGTATAAAATAACCTAATGCTGTACATATTTCAAAGAAGTGCTGCAGCAAGTTCTGTTGTAATACAAATAAAATATATTGTAACATTACTTTGGTTTGTTGATTATGATGCAAATTTCGAGTGACCTGTTGCAATAGTGAATTTTTTAACTGTTATACTGTAAATATTCAAAATATTCGAAGAGAGCTTGTTATGTAGGTAATTATGAAAGCTTAGGTTATTGCTTGAGCAAGCGACACTTGGATTGATGTCAATATCTTCAGCAATTAGTTTGAGAACTTATGATAATAAAGAGCTGCTATACATTCATCAACAGGTGGAGGCTACAGCAGAGCCACTACTGATCGCGCAAATTGCGGGACATTTTTCATGTATTTTATATAATACAAGGCAAGGCCGACATGTAACTGGTTTGTATCTGGAATATTTGAAAAATACGTCCACTTTTTTCACTTTAATCTTTTATTGAAATTATGTATAAAAAATAATATCAGACAAATGTCCAGCTCTAGAAGCCGCACAAACCTCACATTTTCCATCAGTTTTTGGTAGGTTTGGGGAGGAGTATATTCAACCGCTTCCGGAATATTATTTTTCAGCTGCTCTACAGTATTGGGTTTGTTGACATAAGCCCTATTTCTCAAAAATGTCTATTAGCAAAGTCAGGAGCCGTTAAATCCGGTGACCTTGGTGGCCAGTTGGCATCATCAAATCGAGAAATAAACGTCCCGGAAATATTGTTCGCAAAAGATTCATCATTTCCCTAGTTGTATGACAAGTTGCTCAGTCCTGCTGGAACCACATGTTTTGTAGGATTTGAGGAGAAGGTAAGTTTTGCACCATATCACGGTAGTGCTCGCCAGTGACAGTAAAAGAATTATCTGCAGCATCTTCAAAGAAGTCAGGTCTCCAATCACACCTCCATACGAAACACCGCAACCAACTGTCACTCGACAAGGATGTAGTGGTCGTTGATGGATGACACGAGGGTTCTGTAATGTCTAGATACGACAATTCCGCTTATTAACAAATATATCAGTCAGTTATATATTGATCACCCTATAAATAAGAAAATGGGCGCCCAAATGGCCACTTCAAGGTCATTGCAATGACAGTTTCTAAAGAAGTCGGATTGAGTAGAACCACGCGTAACTTTTTGTTTTTGTCAGTACCTCAAGGTTCACAAACACCATTAACCCTAATTCGACCAAAGGGCCGAACCTTATTAAAAACTTTCCTGTGTAATAGTAACAAAAAAGATGACATCAGGTACGTTGACTCTGCACGTCATCAGTTCATAAAGTAGTACGGATAGATTAGTCAGCCGGACCGGTTCGCCGGGCGGAAAGCTTATACAGGGTGACTTTGAAGTTGAGTCATTAATTTTCAGATAATGATTGTAGAAGGAAGATAAACCAAAATATGTGTGTAAAAATTAAAAAAAAAATGTTACCTTGTTTTATAAAGTATCCTCCAGACAAGTATTTCAGTGCGTACCTGTATTGGATCGTGCGGTCTTGGAGCACCGGCATGCCCTCCCCTGTGAGGTTGAGGTCTTAAGTTACCTGATTCACGAGCCCTTTGTACTACATTAACAAAGGCACGAGGGGTTGGTTGCACTTGATTTTGAAACCGATCCGCATAAATCCGTCATGCAGCGGCAGCATTTTGTAAAGACTCCCCCCCTCCCCGTAAATAAGAATCATGTCCACAAGTTCAGCATTTTCGTAAACATGTCCAATTTTTTATTTCGTCTGAGCCACGCAACAAACACCACTATTCACTCACGCGTTACCGACTGACACATTGACTGAATACAACTGAATAAAATTGTAGTAAAAACATCGTGATAAGCGTTTCAAATTCTTTCGCTTTTTTGTTTCCGATGCGATGAACCGATAAGGCGGATTATATCCGTTGTTGCCAAACACGAGCACATAATATTGTTATTGAGACAGGGCGGTACTCAAACTTCTAAAGGGCTATAACTTTGTTACTTTAATTTTACCAGAAAAATGTTAAAGGAAAAAACATTTCTTTTGATCAGATCTACTCACTGTTAAAATAAATAACTCAACTTCGAAGTATAGGAGCCGTACGCCGACCGAAAACATTTTTCTATCATTCCTAGTTTTAAAGGCAAAGTACGGGGAAATCTAGGCTGTGTCAAATATGGTTAAAAAGTACATACATACATACATACATACAAAGTAAGCAAAGCTCTCCTCTTTTTAATTATACCGCTTTAGCCCTTCAAGGATAAACAAACCTATTCACAGTCTTATAAACAAGAATCGTAAAAGGTGTTGCCAGGATTGTTGATATTTTTTTCAGTAAAGGAATGGAATATAGAATTTCACAACTTTCCTATGTGTCATAACGTTAAGTTTCGCTTGTTTTAATGATATTTGTTTATTCTTGAGCCACCGCGCAAGGCTGAAGCCTAAAAGCCTTCCCTTGGAAGAAGTAAAACAGACTCCATCTTCCTTTCACAGAAAAAAATTTACAGGCTGAATAAGATACATCATTTCATGTTTTGCAGCAAATATCAGTACGGTTTAGGTATTTTTTATACTTGAGTCACCATGCAGACCTAAAAGCCGTTTTACACACAAGAGAATTACTCCGAAAATTATGGTCATAATTATGCCGAAAATGTTTGCTGTCGTATTACACATAAAATAATTCTTGTGAAAATTTTCATGGTAAAAATATAAAACCCGTTCTATAGAATATGCGCGAGAATCGGCGCAGAGTGTTATTTTCGTGCATGTCAATATCAAATGTCAACGTCAACAACATAACATCACTTAAAATTTATGGCTGTGGCCCTGTTCGAGTCGTACGAAGAAGCGTTCATTGTTATTGTTCATTCATAATGTCGTGGAATCGAGAACAAGTTACACTGTTGTTGGAGGAGTACCAAAAATGGCCAAACCTGTACAAGGTGAAGTCACCCAATTACAAAAACAGAAATTTGCAGCGTCAGGCGCTGGATGCGATAGTCCAAGCATTGAGAAGTTTTATATTAACCAAGATCTCGATTACAAAAATAAAATCAACGACGTCTGTTGTCTTTCCGATTATATTGGACGTCATACCCGTTAAGGTTATGTCCATTCGAAAATATTACTCTAATGGGCAGGCGTTTCATATGAATTACTCCGAAATTTTGTTTGCTTGTGCCATACAGGTTGTAGAGAAAATCTTCAATATTTTTTCCATGCGAATTTTCGGCATAATTATGACCATAATTTTCGGAGTAATTCTCTTGTGTGTAAAACGGCTCTAAGACCGAAATATCCATGGGTACCATATGGCTATAGAGGGACACAGGGTAAAGGGGAGGAACGTCGCATGTCAGCGAGGGAATTCATTTATGTGCATGAAACACGCTTACATTCTGCCCTTACGAAAAATCACAACATCCACAGCCAACAGATTTTTTTTCTTGGAACGAAATTCAAACCCTCATCGCTCCCGGCGACTAGGTTAGTAGACGCCGTGAACTTTTTTCTGACACTACAACTGTTAGACAGGAACTGAACATCCTTGCAATAGTTTTTGTATATTTTCTCGGTGTATCTATTTATATACACCAGATACTTATCGTTAAGATTCATTCCGTATTTCAACACTATCTACCATTAGGAGATGTGTGACTGTAATTTATTTTCAGTTTTTGACGAACTTCCTTTACAACAACGGGCGACGAAAGATACGATTGGTCTGATGTTTGCACCAAATAGACAGGACCGTACTTGATCTGCTTTATAAAACACACAATATAAGTGTAATACTGCAAGAGAGCTTTTTTAGTCAACCTACTTGAAAACAATTGGCGGTAGAGGATTAATCTAATGATTTTACTAAAATGCACAGGACCGTAATAGATTTTTTATAATAAACACAATGGTAGCATAATAGGGATAGGTAAAGGGGTTTTTTATAGCATCGAGTGACGATTGGTCTGTTGTAACTTTGCACAAAACAAACAGAACTGCACTAGGGTTTTTATAAGACTTTTATACACGGTGTAAGTCAACGAACAGATATAGCTAATCCTCATAGGTATTGATTTAGAATCCTTTCTAGTTAACGGACTTTCGATTTTGCTACAAACTTAGGGATTAGATGATACAATGCTACCTATTTTTTAGGACGGGTAAAAGTAAAAATTCGGGATGGTAAAATTTGCGCATAAATACTATATTTTAATGTAAAAATATCGGTCAAATAGAATGGTGGTCGTGTGATATCATTTTGAAGCCCACTATAAGATTGATATGGAAAATATTGCGAGCGCTTTGATGTTTAGTTGTTGAGTTCTGAGTGAGGGTAATGACCAAAAAGGCTCAACTTTGACACATAACCATTTTAAGTTTAAAAAAAAATCCCTGCCAAATTGAAGTTCTACTAGTATCCGTATATCAAATTCTTTTCGATTTTCAACTTCCTAGCTTAACCCATCCAAAATAAAGGCTTGTAAAAGTAAATGATGGGACATTAATAAAGACAAACACTATCTATATACTGGCATACATGGTTCATTCAAATAAAAAAACTGACAACTCCGTTAATACCCCACAGCTTGTTTTATTTCACATCAAATTATTGCAAAAAAAAAAATAATCGTACTTTTCTGATGTACAGAAAATGTTTGAGTCCTGCCTATGTTTAACAACTCAACAGATACAACACAGGAAAATCGGATTTAGAAATGAAAAATGCCCCAACTCTAAAAATATATCCTCAACCTGAGAACTTATTAACCTTGCTAGAAGATCCATTGTTGAAGTTTCTAAAAATATTTGACCACATTTTTTCCTCTTACATATAAATAGAGATGATACGATGTTTGGCCTCATTAGCAAATGATAAATTCTCAACTAATTGCTGTCCTACTAGGGCGTATCCGGTATTTTATTTCAACTTTTTTTGCTTTAAAGAGAAGTGTATACAGGACCGTCATTATTTTATGGTCTTTATTACCCCATCAAAATATACCCCGTGGTTGTATATTTGGTCTATGTCCATATAATTTTGGCCGATAAATGGCTAGGTAGCTGAAACGTCAATAAAGTACCTTCCAACTTCTGTGGGTTCATTTATCAACAAAACAATATGGATACTTTGTGGTTCGTAACATAAGATGAAAATTGGGAGCTTAAAAGGTATTTTCCTGGTTTAGTATACACTTTTCTAATGTTTAAAACCGAGAATTGTAAATAGATCGGTTAAAGGTACAGTTCTGTATTAAATATTTAATATATAATGTGTAAGACACACCTAACATGTATTTAATTTTATTTATGTATATTACTGTGAAACATGGAGCAAGTAAAATAAAGTTAATTTTAAGAAACGTTGTTGTGTATATTATTATTCCATTTAGTCTAATCATATTAGCAAATTTCCCCGAAATAATTCTCTGGTCTGGTTTTATTGGAAAACGTGTTTTTTGGGATTCAATCGAAAGTGCTGACAGGAACGAAAAAAGTTTTCCTAGAAGAGTTTTAGGTATTTATGAGACCTACAAAATGAGACCACACGTGAAAAGATTCGACGAATAGCAAAAATGTTATGGCCGGAAAACGAAGCTTAATGCAGGTTTTGGCACTTGTTGGTAATGCGACGATAATCTCACGCAACTACTTGAAGTCCTTCAAATCCGTAGGATTCATATTTTTTAGAACAACAACAAAATTGGAGTGTATTGGTCAAGTATTGTTTTGAGAATTTCCAATTGTTTATCTCAACACACCTCATCACTAGGTACTAGTGTACTTATTGAGCAACATACAAGGTTCGTTCACAGAGCATTTGATATCAAAATACATGTGCTTACCTTGCTGATATGAATCACAAACCATTCCGAAAGTTAAATACTATTTTCATGCGAAAAACAAAGGTTATGTTTTTTTCGACTAAACAAATTCAAACATTTCGTATTTCTGAGTAATTGAACAAATGCGCTACGATATTCGAAAAACATACGTTACTATATACATCATTTTAAAACAAAGCGGATGTGTCTATCGTCTTTTGTTGCGAATTACTCACAAATACGAAATGATTGAATTTGTTTAGAAGAAAAAACGTAACCCATCCTTTTTTGCATTTATCTTCCGGAATGGTTTGCGATTAATATTGGCAAGGTAAACTATGGTATTTTGCTATAAAATGTTCTTTGAACTAACTTGGATATTGCTCAATAAACTTGTGGTGATGGCCGGAAGACAGGTGTTTTGGGATAAAAAATTAGAAATTCCCAAAAACTACTTGACCAATCTACTCCAATTTTGTTGTGGTTATTTAGAAGTACGACTCCTACAAATTTAAATAATTTCAAATATGTGTGAGAAACCATTGTCGAATTACGAACAAGTGCCGAAACCTGCAGTTTGCCTCGATTTTCGCCCATAACTTTTTTGCTATTGGTCGTATCTTTTTACGTGTGGTCTTATTTTGTAGGTTCCATTAATACCTAAAAATCTTATATGAAGAGTTTTTTTGTTCCTCCCAACACTTTCGATTGAATCCCAGAAAACACGTATTCTCATTCTTTGTCGAATAAAAAGTTTTCCCACAAAAAATGGTGTACCCATTTTATGCGTCCATGTTTTGAATACTCCCTTGAACAACCTGCAGCAATAAAACCAGACTTTACAGTTATTTCGCAAAGCAGGGCTATTTTCATCTAATATGGTTAGAATAATTCATTATTTCCACATACTGTCGGTCTAGAAGAATAAAATCCTCTATTTGAAAATACTTATAGTTAATACGACAGATTTTCACCATTTTGCCCCATTTAACCGGACGAATTTCCAACTTTTACCTCGGCATGATTACCGTACACGTAATTTTACGGGATAAGCTGTAACCACCGAGGAAGTGTCAAGAACCAATATGACTTATAGCAATTCCTCTTCGTAGCTTTCATCAAACATAGTTTTGATATATATTTATTGTACGAAGTTAACAAAAAAATTATGATTTTAAATGATGAAATCGTTCATGAGTAGTGTTTCTTTTTTTATACTATGGCATCCAGAAGCCTGAATACTAGAGCGCCGTGGCTGCTGTGAGGAGCTTGAAGAAACTTTATTAATCCGATTCTCAAACTGCTTTAAGTTAGTAGAACAGGAAAAAGCCTCCTCAGGTAGGTTGTTATACAATCTGGATACCCTGGGAACTAAGGAGCGGTTCTGGATCGGATTGAAAGTGCAGGAAAGGAGGTCTTTAATATCTAAACGGAATAATGCCGGAATGTTTGAATTTTCTGTAAAATGACACCGCCTAGAGATTTCAGAAATAATACAGAATCACAAAATCATACAGGGACGAAGTTTGAGGTGGTCCTTATTTTATACGTTACTGCACCACCAATGCACTTTTTTCAAAAGCTGTAGCTGCTATCACCACGCTGTAGAATGTTTCAAAGCCAATTGCTTGACTTATTATTGCAGGATAACAAGAGAACCGGGTCTTTCGTGGTGATGAAACAGTCAAAACAATAGGAATGTGTATTTTCGAGATAGAGAAAAGTGACATGCAACACGCACCTGTAGGCAACCATGTCATCTGAAAGAAAAAGAAATAAGCATTAAAAACCTTGGTATACAATGGAAGTTCTTTATGCGACACTCGTGCACAAAATCTGTCACCATCGCACAATGAACCAAAAACCTATTAAAAAGTAAAAAAAAATGTTTTCACGTTTGGCTCCAGATTTTGTCGACAGTGAGTGTGAGAGCGATGCATAATTCATCTTTTGATAACATTACTTCCATTGAGATATCTCTGCATGCGAAATTATAGTGAAGTGAACGTATGTCGCATCAAACCTTGAAATGGTAAGAAGCTCGTGTCGAAAAAGTTTATGATGGAATAGTGTCACGTTTCAAAGCAAGTAGAACATGGGTCCGTAACTACTTTCTTTTCGAACTAGAGCACACTGAAGAAATACGAGTAATGATCCAAATATTTCTATGAATAATGAAACGTATTTATTGAATCTATGATAAATTTTGGAAAAAAAATGATTTAGAAGGTTTTGAACAGTAACATTTGAAAAGAACGACAAAAATAAAAAATATCGAATAGTTTTTTTTACAATAAATATTCAAAAGGGCCACCTTCGAATTCAATACAGGCGTCTAGTCTGTTACACATTGACTGATGAACTCTGCTGAAAATATTGAAAGTATTTTGTGTAGTCAGACATGACTCGGCAATTCTGACTTTTAAGTCCTCCACGCTTTGAACAGGAGTCTTGAATACTAATGATTTCAAATGTCCCCAAAAAAAAAATCGATAGGATTCATGTCAGGCGATCTAGGCGGCCATGGCTGTGGTACGCCTCTTCCAATCCATCGATTTGGATAATTATTATCGAGGTATTCTCGCGCAACGACACTGAAGTGTGGCGGAGCACCGTCATGCATGTACCACATGCGCCGTCGTTCTCTAAAGAAGAATTTCCTCCATTAATCCAAGTAGGTCAAATTCCAAAGATCTTCGGTACTCTTCGCCGCTAAGTCTGGTTGGAAGGAAGTGAGGGCCTATCAAGTGGTCACTAAAGATTCCAATCCGAATATTGAAAGAAAAGTCGTGTTGCGTATTATGTTCAATTATGACACGGGAATTTTCTTCACACCATACATGGTTATTATGGAAATTTATTATTGCTGTTAGCGAAGAAAAATGCTACATCCGTGAATAGTATTCGATTCAAAATATTTTGAGTTAATGTTACTTTTTCACGTAACCGGTAGCAAAAATCAACTCTCAAGGCAAAAGCGCTTGTATACGTTGTATATGATATGGATAAAGTTGCTGATCTTTCAAAATTTGCTGTACCGTTATATGATTTAAATTTAGCTGGTGAGCAATTTTTCGTGTACTTGTTGTAAGGTCCTTACACTTGCGGGTCTTCCTGCAACATGTGTGGATCTCTTGAAACTGCTTGTTTCACATAGTCGAGCGTGAATGTTGATGAAAGTTTATACATTAGGCAGCGGGCATTGTGGAAATGGAACACCATACAAACGTCGTGCTCGTCGAGAGTTACGCAGAGCCATTCCGTAAATGAAATGCATGTCTGTCATTCCTTGATTACTTAACTGGACCATTAGTAATCACCAAAACTTAGAAATATTTGGAGTCTTAGAACGTCCAGACAAGAAAACAAATATTTGACGGCTGTCGAATTATTTGAGAAATTAAATTAATTCAATTGTTTTCGGGTACGTCATAGGTGTCTAGATAAGTACAATGCTTGAATATTAAAAGTTTTGCGATCAAAACAAATCAATGTCATGCTATTTTTTTAAAGAAATACTGGATAACATTATCCGTACATGGAGGTTCTGAAAACAACTCTAAATCAGAGGGCATAGCTAATTAAAATTAAATATGTTCCATTCTTTTATAATTTTTTAGAACAATATCATCATTTCTTTTAGTGCTAAAATGCTTGAAAACCAAGCCGTTGCGGACCCATGTTCATATGGAAATTTCGTCATCAAATTGACCAAGGATTCGATGGTTAAAGTTTTTCTGCATACTTTATTAACACCCTGTATATATAAATATTATATGGCCTTGTATTACTTGCCAATCGACACAACATACGATATGATAACAATATGCAATTGATAACTTTTTTGTAATTTGGAGTAATTTAGTGGATTCAAAAAGTGTTTAGCAGAAATGACAGTTTTGGCTGCAGCTGACAATTATGCGAGATTATACAATAATTGGCAAACAGCTTGTAAAACGTATAAATTCTAAATTGATCGCAACTGAAATATTGTTGCGCATATATGTCCACCATATTGGATTTTGATCTTTGGAGCGACCCTTAAAACATACAAAACATAAACTCGACGGCAATCGAAACATGTTTTGCCATACTGGATCCAGCATTTGGATTTCGAAAAAACAGATATCTAGTTCGTTACCAGCGACCTTAAAAACTCATACAATTCTCGAATCTAAACGTAATCCAAACATTTTTTTGCAAACACGCCCACCATGTTGCATACGCCATTTTGATAGGATATTATATTCGTTATCAGCAATCTTGTAAACATGTATATGAAGTTTTTTGGTAAAATTTAGTCTTTCTAGTTTTGGTCAAGTTTTATGACATTGTAAAAATATACGGTGCATGAGATTGTAAATAATCTTTTTAACAAAACCAACTAATACAGACTGATGCCAAAGAGAAATAAAAGAATGAACTAGATTTATCTGATCTATACGAGGGATGTCTTTTAAGTTTTGCATATGGAAATAAAACGGTAGGTAGTTTTAAA